TTTGTCTGTTTTCCACAGAGGATAAACATCTAAAGTGTACCATTATATGGTTTTGGAAATCACTTGTATGCTTGATTGTGAGTTAGTCACTCATATTTTCTTGTTCTCACTATTATCTGATATAATGCCCTAATGTTAAGAATGTTAGAGGTGGAACTAATGAGAAGAAACTGTGTTTTAGAATGAAGACAACTTGCAGCTTAGTCTGGTAGGATGGGAGCCTAAAGCACTCTTTCTGTTTAAAAAATACCTTTCATACAAATAGGAAACTTATTTGGTTTTCTTTTCTGCAGAATGTCCCTCCCTGGCTGACCCATGCTGCTATGCTTTTGTTATAAATCATAGCCAGAGTGGGAATATCAAACTATGATATACAGCTCTATTCAAATCACACTCACTTTTCTACTTCTGAGGAGCTTGCTTGTTAGGGAGACGTGTGAGTTATAAATAGGACAACATATAACAAGGTTAGTTGCAAAGATATGCCAGAAAATATTTTTGCTGTGGGGAGAGAATCTTTTAAAAGAGCCTTTTGATTTTTTTACATTCCTTCTGCAGTTTCCAAACCTGAGTATGCAAAGACTCAACCAGGGCAGTAGGAAATCAACTTTTCTGGACTTGCTGCTTCTTTGCCCTGCTTTGCTGCTGACCCCAATGCAGCATTTCGGTTTGCACACCTGCAGAAGGTGTTTGTCTCAGCCTAGATTATAATTTGAGGGACTGTTCAGAGCCAGCATGAGACAGCATTACCACACAGGTAATGGGAGACAAGGACAGGACAAGGACATCCGCATAAAGAATCTTTGAAGGCATTTGAACCTTCATCATTCCTGAAGCAGAGGAGAAAACATGTTGTGACTTGAAGTTAAATTCTTTAACCAATCTTCTCTTTCTCCAGATATACTGTGTAATAATTTTAGAGGTTGAAACTTGTCCATTTTATAATCCCCCTTTTCTCTATGTGACTGGCACCACTGTCTGAGCCACAGAGAAGAAAAGAGGGAAGGGAAAGATGGTCTTAGTGCCTGACCAAGGGTGAATGGAGCATGGGTACAGTTGTTACCTGGGACAGTTTAGTTGTCACTGTGAACTCTGGCACAAACCAGCTTCCCTGCAAACATGGTCCACCTTAAGGTTTGTGGCAATCACACTGCACGAGAACATAAAATTAGCTTTATTAGATGATGGACAGTGAGAGGAATGGTAATGACATTGCCACTGGTTTGCTGAGTGATCTTGAACTTGTTATTTTATTTCTCTGGGGTAGTTTCCCTCTCACTCTCTGTATTTTGTGAATCTTGACAGGAAGGATGACCTGTTGCTCTGTGTTGTGTCAGTCTTACCTGCTGTCTTACCTGTGGTCTCCCAGTGCTTCTATGGTCTCCCAATTCCTTATATTCACAGCAATCCTGCTACTGCTGATTGCAAAACTCTATCATTCTATTACTACTAACAGATCATTCACAACATTGTTTTTCTTAGTTTTGGAAAAATTCGTGTGAAGCAGTAAATAGGAGAAGGGAACTGCTGAAAGTTCTCTAGATCATCTGGAGATGTGAAGGAAGTCAACATAAATCATGGAACAATAAAATCTTAATTTTTAATGCTTTTCCTTTTCCTGCTTTAGTGAAGGATTTTATTCCTTCTCCTTAAAGTTCTAGTGGCAGTCAGCTATTACTCACAGCCTCCATTAGAAGAACATACTTTGTTGCTATAGCAATTCTTCTCACAGATATTTTATTGCACTTAGATGCTGCTGGGAAAAAAAAAAAAAGCAAAAAGGCAAAACCAAGGCACAACAAAAAAAAAAAAAGGCATTGCTGAAATGGTCAGCCTACCTAATCTCTTCTTTCTGAGCAACTTTTGACTGTATCTCACAGCAATCTATATTCTGGTAAACACTTTGTGTGAGGCACTATCTGGGAAGGTTTATTGTTGCTTTATAAGTGGCATACGGCACACAGCAGGACACATTGCAGCACAGTGTCTGACATGCAGCTGTAGATTACCGGGAAGATAAATTCATCCTTTTTGATCTGAGCATTTCACCAGCTCCAATTTGAAGTCTTGATATCACCCTGTCAACTAAACGGGATGTTTTTAAGTAAGGGAAGAGTTATCAAAGGTTTACTCAAAGTTCTTTTTAGAATGGCTTCTCCAGGAGCACAGATATATATTTACTGTGGGTGAATGTAGGGCTCATCAAAACTGCTGGACTAAAATCCCTGTAAACATAAGGCCTCTTTCAGCACCACATACTGAACAGCAGCTTCAAGTTTTATCTCTTCTGTCAAAACCAGGTGCCTAACCATTCAACTAATGAGGTAAGAAAGGTCATTAATTCTGTCTCCTGCTGGCTGCAGGAGGCTGAGCTCTCCCACCCAGAATGGTGGCATCCTCCTCCTGGGAATAGTCACTGGTATGGAGCCAGCACTGCCTGCAGTCCCCTGGCCATGTAATCCAGACTGGGAGCCAGGAAGAGGGAAAATCCATGGCAGGAAAATGGAGAGCAGCTAAGGAAAGCATTCTTTTTCCACCCCCCTGGCTCTGAAGGGAACATCATTCTGAGGGGTAAGATGGCTCTGTGTAGAGATAGTTGTGGCCAGCGTGTTGGAGCATATGGCCAGCACATTCCCACTGCCAAAGGAAGGACAGAATCCGAGGTGAGTGGAGGTAGGAGAATACTGCTCCCCTTCCCTCAGCTGCCTGGGTGGGCAAAAGAAATGGGATGGGAGGGAGCAGGAAAGGTGGCTCCACATGTGGATCACTGTCCTCACCAGGGCCTTGAGACTCCTGCCTGCACATAGCAGCATTCAGAGTACCAAAAAGAGATGTCTGCGCCAGTGTGCAGCAGCTCCTGGTTTTCTCCTTGATTTTTATATGTCCTTGTGATACTCAGATGTTCGAGTGGAACTGGACATGGCTTCTGCATTGCTGCTGGGAAACACTCCCACCAGAATGGACAGGACAGCCAGCACAGCTCTCACCAGCACTGGCACAGCCTCCTGCCTCCTTCTCTTCACCTGTATCACAGCTCATCAGGGAGGCAAAAACGAAAAAGGAGCTATTTCACAGTCCAGTAGCTTCGAGACTGTGTTGCCAGAGGGCAAGGCAGGAGGGTGTGAGGGGGAGGGCAGCACGCCAGGTCGGCTGCTGCAAGTGTGAAAGGCAGGGAGGAAAGGGCAGTGCTGCCGTACCTCGCACTGTGCTCTCACTGCACGCAGCTCTGTCTGGCCAGGGACCTGCTGTGCATCCCTGAGCAGAGCCCAGGAGCAGGATAACGTGTTTGGAGGGAATTGGGAGCAAAAGTGATGGAATTGCACAACAGCACTGTGGAGTGCACCTCTGGAATGCCCTCTGCAGGCTTTCAAATGGAGCCCTCGGTGCTGGCACAGCCACCTCTGTGCTGGGCATCACCGTGCCCAGCTAGGACTTATTGATTGATTCTTTGCACAAGGAGCAACTCAAAAGCATTCAACAGCAAACCAAAAGTTGAGACAAGACTTGCAGCTTCTCTAGATTTGAGTCACACATTGGCATGTAGCCAGTTCTCATCACCCAGGTCCATTAAATCGAAGTGTTTGAATTCACCTTCCATTTTCAGCCTGAGGTTTTACTTGTGTTCATTTTGTCAGTGTACATATATTTACAAAAGAAGAATTTGTGAATGGTCCTTACTCAGTTTTCTTGCTGTTTATAGCACAGATAGGTGTAGGCTGCATCATTACCACAACAAAGCCCTTATTAATAAGGTGCTTACAATTTTGGCAAATACTTGCAGGATGAAATTTTTCATGCTTGGACTCAGTCCACAGGCAGAGCTTTGGAAGCTGGAAGTAAAACAATCTTTGTATTTTACATGCTTCAAGGATGGATATCCGCCCAAAACACAGCATGTTGTTGTTTATTCTTGAAGTAACATGAGAATGGGTGAGCTGAGTCACTTAAACTGTCTTGTTTCATAAATCTTATAAAGATTTACAAATAGAACTAAAAGTGGTGCAATTTTGAAATAAACTGCTTGCCATGCTAAAACAACATATCTCTTCCCAGATTTTTCCCTCACACATACACAGGAGAGAGAGAGTGACTTAATGGCTTAAAATAACTGGGCTTTGGTGATGTGATGTCCTATTAATTTATTTGAAATTGTAAAAATTACCAGTGTTACCTAACTAACAGCCAAACAACTCCTTAGGGGACTCTTTCCCAAAGAAAACAAGTGTCCATGTTGTTGGGCCCCCTGTTGTGGGATCTCTTCTGTCCCAGCAGGCTTGTCTGGCACTTGCCATTCAAGATGTTGGGTGTTAAAGCCTTGAGGGGAGGGGTTTCTAACAAAACTGCAGCTTGTTCAATCTTTTCCAGCTAGTAAAAGAGTGGAACTCCTGCTACTTGTTGTTATTCATAAGGGTGGATTACTGTCTCCCATTGAACAAACCCTACTGGGATCTTGGAAGGCTCCAGCCAAATTGTGCTTCTTGCTCACCAGCACACGGCTGAAGGGAAGAACAGGTGACCATGGTCCCAGAGGAGAGGTCTGCTCCCACCTCTCACCCTGGTTCACTCCCTCAAACGTTTCTTCTCACCTAGGATGATGCATCTTCAGTGTTATCCACTTTCTCATGTAAAGTAACTACATAGAATTACTCCTGCTTTACAGAGAGTGACTGCAGCTTGCCCAAGGCCCCCTGGACAAGAGGCAAGGGAGATTGTGACTAGGGCTGAGATTTCAGCCTGCATTCAGGTTATTTGATTTCAGCATTAGTGTTGGCTTTTTGCTGCACTCTGCAAAGAATTGCAGCTACATTTATTTTTTTTTTCAGGTGAATTCCAACTGAAATATGTAGGGAAAGTTAACCTCCCACCAAGATTTTAGATGGCAGCCATATTAAATAACAATACTGCCTGACAGAAAAGGATGTCTACTGTAATCTGCTGGGTAAGGATTATGACAGCTGCATTTCTTTAAGCAGCTGGAAAGAATGGAGTTTTAAATTCTATTTTTTTTTCATTTATAACTTTATTTACAATTGCCAGAAACCTTATTGTTGTGAATTGCCATGGGGAATTTCACCAACAAAACCCCAAACAAACAACTATTTGTGATACTAAACCAAAAACTGTTCAGTTTTAATTTCATACATTTGTTGTCCAGCAGGGACACACTAATTAATGAATCCTAGTGACTGCCCACCTCCAGCTATGCTGCCATCTATGGTGTTAAAGCTCTCTGGACATGCATGTTGCTCACCTATGGTCAGAGCAACCTAACTGGGTTTCTTCTCCACTGCACTCAGAGCAAGGAACTTCTCCAAAGGACACCATTGTCTCCAGGTCTTCAGTCTGATTCTGTGTCAAGTGCCAGGATTTGTTACCAGTCAAGGATGTTATCCCACGTGCAGCTCCCCTGGCTTTGTTCTCACCAAGAGAACACCATCCTTGGAAACTTCCTGCTTCTGATCTTCCATTAGGTGTGCTGTAGGAGGAAATGAAATGAGGTCCAGGGAGGTCCATTTGTATGAAAAACACAACAAAGGTAAAATCAACCATTAGCTGGTTAAAAGGGAAAAAAGTTCAAGGGAGTAATATAAATTGCAACCAACACTAAGACAAAGCTCCTTAGTAAATGGCATGCCACAACTGCAAAACAGCAAGTGCCCAGATGCCAATGGGTTTCATGCTAGATAATGTAGAGTTGATAAACTGATCTTAATGCCTAAGTAATTAACAGTCAATTATTTTAACATGATGACTAAAGCTGAGCAATGACTCCTACTGCAGCACTAACAGTGGAGCAGCTATATCATTATCTGTGTCTTTGCCTATGTAATCTTTTTAGTGGGAAATGTCTCTAGTTTTAGTTTGCTGAAATAGCTCTGAAGGGGCAAAGGAGTCAGCAGACATAAAATATCCACATTGGATATGGTTTCCAGTTGGTCATGCAAGGCATCAAGAGAACCAATTACCAGGACAGGAGACCTGTCTGGGTAGCTTATGGAACGTGTGCTTCCATTTATCCGTGGTGGGGCAGGATGAACAATGGCCTCAGTTGCATGCTGCAGTTTTTCACACTCTGTTCCAGAAACAACTGTATCTGTGCCCAAACCCTAGAATATCCCTTTGTAGGAAAAGCAGGAAGAAATAACAGGGAGTGTTTGATCTTACAGCAGCCTGCTCTCATGGAGCAGTCTGATGTAACAGGTATGTGGAGAGTGCTTTGAAATGATGCCTGCATGATATGAGACTGTGTTTACATCTGAGAACAGTCCCACCAAAAAAAAGCTGTCTCTGTTCAGAAAACATTATTTTGGCTGATTATTTAGAAGGTAGTTCCTAAAGACCACATTTCTGGTTTAAGTTCTTGTGAAGTAAAGGCAAGTGAAAGGTGTAGTTTCAAGTTTTGAAAGGATATAATAATTTAATATATCCTGCACTCAAATAATTTCTGTTAAGCATCAGCATGCAGAAATTCAGTGAATATCATGCAGTAACACAATGATGTAGTTGCTCTGGGCTACCATTTATGCTGCCGAGTTGTTATCTATGACATTATGAACCACCAGTTTCCATCAGAACATAAATACCTGGTGCTGCAGCAACAAAGGAGCCAAGTGGATTATGTTTCTCTGTTCCAATGTTTTTCTTATTTTCTGGGGATTTGGAGTACAGTTTGTCTTGGTTTAATTTTTATGAGAGCTTTGGGGCTTTTGTCTCACTTGGCACAGTGAGGTATAACAAGATTTCATTTATGATTGTATACTCTATGTTTTTAGAGAAAATATGGCAGAAATAAAAAAACTATTTTATGATGGACTCTCTTTCTGCATGTGCAGCACATAAACTGAGGTTCCCTGAGCACCAAACTCAGAGGCTTGGCTCAAACCCGGTTTATTCTCTGGGGGCTACAAAAACTGATGGTTAGAAAATCTGTGATTTGACTTCCTCAGGACCATTAATTACTTACCTGGGTATTCATGAGTTTGCATGGCATAAATATAGACATGGGAGGTGTCCAATTTTCCATATTCATCAAACAGAAGACAGTTAGATTTGTAGTAGCTGTAGTATCTGTGTAGGTCCAGCACAGGAGACTTTTAGAGGCACTAATGCAGGACTGAAGGAACTTTGTATCCCCATCCCCTTGTGTTTATCTGGAACAGATGCCTGACCCCTCATTTCTTAAACCAAAATCTTTTACTTCCATTCTAGTCTTGAAAACTACTTTTCCAGTGATAGCCATATGTCCAGACACTGTAATTTTTCCTAGCTCTTGGACTAAATACATAAAAGGTGGAAGCAAAAGAGGCTCATCTTCCCTTTACAACTTTTCATCCATGGAATTGAGAAGGACATAAAATATGTTGTGAATTGACTCTCATATCTGCTGTGATCTTGTCTCCCATAGTAAACTTCGGAGAATTCCTTGTTCTAAATGTGCTCCTTCATTGTATAAATATATCTTCAAATATAGGCGATAAAAACTAGAAGCAATACTAGAGTTATTGAGATTCCTGAAGGCAGAAATAGCAGGCAGGGAGAGAAGTGAGAAAGAAAATTGAGAAATGCTGGAGTGATGCCTGTGAACATTTAACTGATCTGTAGCTGGGCCATGTATTGGAAAATATGTGGTTTGAGCAATCAGTAGTCTACTTCAGGGGATGAAATGAAACTTTTCCTCTGAAACTAATATGTGAAATTATGTCAAATTCCACTTAGTATATAATTTTAAATAAATAGATTTCTTTACAGTGGTTTTCCTAGGGTCTTCCTGTGATTGCCCTTCATTGTTACCACCAGTGGAGAATCATTGTTGTGTCTCTGCTCGCCCTTTCATTGGAGATTACAGGCATTCCTGCAATAGTCACCTGTTTCTTCATCCAAGACAAGAGGCAGAATGTGTACTTTGAGACATCAAAAGCTTTGTTTCAGTGGGCAGCTCCCTGTCGCTGTGATTGTGATCAGTGCTTATGAATAGCAGGGCCAAGCTTTCTGAGATGTGGCACCAAAGAGCTGAGGCAACAGAAATGAAAAGCAATACTGGAAATGTGTGCCTAATTAATTTTTTATTAAAGCAAAGCTCATTGTAGAGGTATGACATACCTCTGCATACTCCTGATAATATTTTTGAACGTGACCTACATTTTCTGTTATATCCTGTAGCTAGTGCTCTTTGTTTTGTGTTATGAATGTGTACCTGGGAAAATGTTCCTTATCTTTGCATTTCCTAGAGCAGCACAATATGTAAAGAGACAGAAATTTGCTTTAAAAAAGCTGAACTCACAGTTAGTCAGTGAGAAACAAATCCTGTCTGGAGTGGCTGTGTCACAGGTTTTTTGTCCTACTTGCATTTGCATGTCATTTCTGTGAAAGGACATCCTGCAACAGAGGAGGGCTCTGACAGGTCTCCTGTCCTGGTAATTTGTTCTTTTGATGCCTTGCATGACCAATTGGAAACGATAACCAATATTCAGCGCTGAGATGGGTGCTTGCTGAGCTTATTGTGAACTGCAGGAACTTGAGGGGAGCTCACTAGGATCACTTAGCCACTTGCTGGTTTGCTATTTGGGTGTTTTTAAGCTTAAAAGCAAAACAAAAGAGGCAGGAATCCCAACGACAAACGTTTCCCTGGAATCAGCAAGTTTTCCAGTGAGATGAGCTTAATTAAAACTAACAGAATATATTAGTTGTGTTGTAGCCTTTTTCTCTAATGTGTTACCCTTGCAACCTGCCTCAAACAGAGCCATGTGGTGCATTTTGGAGTCAAATTTGAGCTGGCCTGCAGGGAGTGGTACATGTCTATCAAATGGGTGTTTGGAACACTGCTGCAGGCTAAAGAGAGAACAGCCATTGCCTCCTGTCGCTGCCCCTGTATGGGCTAATCCATCTTCTAGGAGCAGTATGACAACATCTCTGCATGGGCTCAGCAGAAACCTACAGGTGCTATGAGACCCTCCCAGCCTGCCCAGGCCAGTGAAGGGCCTGCACTCTTCCCTTGTCCACCACTGTCATCTCTAGGAAGGAGCTGCTTTGGTCTTCAGGATGCATGAGTTATTTCCCTTGCTAACAAGTGCTCTGTGTAATGCTGGCTCTTCCATGTTCACACCTCTGAGCACTTTGCTCAGCAAATGACGGAGCTCTGGGTGTTTCCTGCTGGCAGCCACGACTTGCCACTATGGATGGGCTATTTTGTAAGCAGTGTGCCCAGATGCTTTTTATCCAGGGCTGCTGCATGAACTTTGAACTGAATGTGCTCACTCTCATCTTCTGAGAGAGGTACACGGTATATGACTGGATTTAGAGCAACAACGTGCCCATTATGATGAGATATTTACTCTACTTCACAAGCAAGCCAATTAAAACATAAAGTATTTACAGCTTCTACCATGCCAGGGCTTAACCTGATATCCTGGGATGCACTTTGCCTAGTTCTCATGCTTTTGAGTATCCCAGCAGGCTCAGTGTTGCATCCATTCCTTTTCTTGCCTATAGCTCGTCATATGCCTCCAAGCCGGGCTGACTCTGGTGATTGACAAAGAGTGCCAGATATTTTTTGACATTAGATGTCACGCTATGAGTGGAGCTGTGCAAAACAGGTCCTGCTACTGCTGTCTGACAGCCATTGTGAATGCTGCTGTCAGCTTGCTGGGCCGTGTGCTGTGAACTAGCACTGAGAATGGTTCCCTTGCTCTTGATAGTCCTGTCACCAGATTTGCAGAATGCATGGGTAGAGGCCATTGGTGTTATGGTTCAGCCCCCTGGTAAACTAGGGGGTTAATCTGAGTTTTCAGAGGGCAGACTCTTCCTCACAAGTGGAGGAAGAGAGAGACAGGGGATTTATCTCTGTGTCACCTAATCTTAACACTAAATTGAGATATAAAGGTAAAAGGGCTTGGCAGATTATCCCTCTCCTGTATTTTGCTATCAGTCTAAGTTCTGGGTGTTATTCTGTTGACAAGATAAAAAAAAATATTTGAAATGACTACTTGCATCTGCCTTTCACTGTCTTCTTTGGATGCACTGAGAGGTGATTGATACCATCACCAAGGGCTGGAAATCCTGTCTGGATAACTACATTCCAAGCTTAGCTCCTGGCAGAGAAGACAGTTGTTTTTCCACAGGGAGAGGGATAGCAAGCCAGTCAGAGTCAAGTGGTTGTAATGAACCTAATCTCATTAAGCCAAGTGTTAGTGGAACTGGAGATGCTGTTGATTGCTAGCACCTGCCTGATGGCCTTCCCAGGAGACACATCTGGGCTCTTTAAATTCCTTGGGGAAGGGCAGGGGGTTTTCTGTTGCTTGTCTCCTCTGAGGTAAGTGCAAAGTCATGAGCACTCTCCTCTAACCAAAATGCAGTGTGTTTTGGTGTCCTGGCACCTGCTCTCTGGCAGGTTGCTTGGCAGACCTTAATCCAAGGGTTGTGTATTTCTGTAGGAATGGCTGTGATTTATAAGTTCACTTCCAAAGTGTGATTTCTTTTTTTTTGTGTTTGGTCCTTGGGTGCAAGTTGTCACTGAAAAGACTTAATTGTGTGTCTGGAGAGTGTCATCTTGCTCTAAAAAAATTGCATGATTGTAACTTTCTGCTGGTTCAACGTTAAGAAGCTCTGATTTGTGAGATATTGCTGCCCTAGTCCCAGCATTCTTTCATGCTTTACTTTCCCTATTACACTTGTTTTCTGCCCATGATTAGTGACTGCATAGTAGAAACCATAAACTCTGAGGAGAAGGTGTGGGCTCTTAAAAGACTCAGTGTATAGAGCCTCATCTTTTTTCCCCACAGCCCCAGATTATCTCCCCTAATGATAAAAGTGAGGCTAAATATGCATTATATTTGTGAATGGACTATTGGACAATGTTTAAGTACCAGATCGTTAGCAATCTCTGATGAGAGTATGGCAGAGAATATGTCAAGCTTGATATGGAAAATGAACAGTGTTCTGTGATAGCTTTTTCTGGCAGGAGGTGAGAGTCCTGCCTGTCTCCTTTAGTCTTTGTGTCTGTCTTCCTGTGCCTTCATCCAAGTTAGCAGGGAGGGAGTTTGTCCTGGGAATAGCATCACTGTTCTGGATTAAAAAGTGATTAAGTTTTTATTTCTCCAAAGTCCTATACCCAACACACAGCTCTCCAGTTTGATTTAGGTAGTAAGGCATTTGCATATGCATTATTTTGGCTGGCAGGTACCTGACTTGAATTTGTATCACAAAGGCTTGTCAGTACAATTTTTTCCTAGCAGGCCCTCCCCCAGTGGACAAAGCTCATAATAATACAATATGTATTTTGCTGAAAAAATGTTTGAAAATGCTGCTGTTGAAATAAATGTTCCCTTTAAGTAATTTTTTTCCTCTGTTGCTTTTCCATATATGAATATCCCTATCTTCACACAGAGATCTGACCTTGGAGTTTCAAAGCCGATGCATGTCTGTGCAGATAATAGAGCACACTTTTCTTCCAATGGGCAGGTGTCTATAAAAGAACAGTTTTATGACAGTGTTTGAGCATTGGCTACTAAATCCTTTGCCCTGCATGTCAGTGAGCAGCTGCTGCTAAGCCAGCCAGCAGATGTGAGTCAAACCTGGAAGCATCTCCGTGGGGTACAGGGCCTTCACTGCAAAATTCCACTTCTGTTCCTGTCTGCAAGAAGCTGCTCCTGCTGCTTCCCCCAGGTGATTCTGAAATGGGTTTGCAGCAAGCAGAGATGAGGAAGAGAAGGCAGGCCCTGGCACCAGAGGTGGTTTCACAGCAGTTATTTGGTCTTGTGAAATCTTTTAGGTGACCATTGGGGTTTTATATCTTGAGCTAAAGGGCCCTGCCATAAAGAAAAGGAAGCCCTTTGTAATGTGGGTGGAGAGCACAAGTTAAATCCCCTGCTTGGGTTAACTCTGCATGGCAAACCTAGTCTTATTTCTCTTTTATCCACTCTGATCCCTGCCAGCTAGCCAGGAGGCTACCTGCAGCTGCTTCTAGTCAGCTCACGCTGGGATGATTGTTGGCTTAGCAGGATGCACATTAAGTGGCACTAAAAATAAATAGGAAATTGGGCTTTCTGTCTCTCTTTTTGATTTTCTTCCTTTAAATGAAAGAAATTGTTAAGCTCTCAGGATTGTTAAAACAGAAACAAAACGAAGAAGCCCCTGCATTGTGAACACCTTCGGAAAGCAGGGCTGCATCAGGTGGAGCTGCCATCCCTGGTGGGTGCTGCAGTAGAGACTTCTCCCAGATGAGCTATTGCACTCCCACAGGGAGCTCCTCAAAGTGCTGCGCCTTCCCTGTGCAGACCCCACAAAGCTGCTCTTACGAGCACCTTCACAAATAACATCTTTCCACTGAGGCTCCCCAAAGCCCAGGGTGAGTTAACACAGGATTCAATTTTGAATGACCCATTGGAAGGATACAAATGAGACCATCGTGAGTCCCTCTTTTCTTCCCCCAAATGTTGTAGCAGTACAGCAGTTGTGCCAGACTAAATGTTGACAGTCTTTAATGTAATTTGTCTGTACTAAAGTTAATGCTGCACTTCATGTACTATATTTATATCTATCTATTCCCTTTCATGTCAGATAAGTTCTAGTGTGTGGGATGTATAATGAGATTGACTGAAAAAGAATTTTTAACCCTGTGAGATCAACAGCTTCCTGCAGGTAGAGAAGGTTGAGGTTATTTTTGTATTAGATGGTTATGGTGTGCTTTACTTTATTTTTTTTTTCCTGACTCTTTATTATGTTCTGCTGTTATAAAACTATAATGTGGAAGTTGCAAAAACCTTGGTCGTGAGGTTTATATGCAGTGCAGCAACACATAATTAGAATATTGTGAGGGCTGCCTGGAACTTGGCCTAAGAAGTGACTTGGGAAACCCTCCCAGCTGTGAAGGAGGCTTCCCCCTAGGCTCTAGCACTCTTACTTAGCTGCTGTGACCCTCTTACTAAAAGGAGGCTTCTACTAAAATTACCCTGAGAGGAGGCCTGGAGTCCTGCTGTGATTACAGTCCAGGATACATTTCTGTTCATCCTTGGGAGGTAACTGGATTAAGTTTCTCTTCTCTGGTGGGTGAATTATAGTGTGGAGATGCCTCTTCAAGTATTCCCTTTCCTGCCTGTAGAGAGAAGCTTGTAAGATTCAGCACTGTCCTCGCTGATCCTGTGAAAGGTGTTTGTCACCCTCTCTTTTTAGAGGGTGAAACAAATGTTAAACACCTCTCAAATGTTATTTTTGTATGTATTCATTTTGTTTCAGAGATTTTTTTTTTTGGTTTATGCTATATAAGTAAAGGGCAGCAGGGGCAGCGAGCAGGAGAGTCAAGATTAACATGTTCATAGCTGTAGATCTGCTCTCAAGCAGACAAGGACCAGATTTGAGTCATTGCCTGGCTTTAATTTCTCCAGACCAAGTTCTACTTTAATGTCCCTCTGACCCTAAAACTAAATCCCTACTCATATGCCTGCCTTGGTAAGTGCTGAGCACAGATGCTCAGCTGCTGTAAATAATCTCAGCTCTGACGTCAGGCCTGTTACAACCATTGACATCAGCTGAAGATGTGTCTATGACTAAGTATAACCCACAGGTATCACTGCATGATTTACAGAGGCTCTTAACACTGTAAACCATATGTTTTATAGCTGCTGAGAAGGAGAAGAAAGTGTCTCACAACAAGCAAAGGCATGTTTAGTTGCATTTTTATACGGTTGAAATTGCCCAGTTAGGGGTTTTTAGGAAATCATTTGCTGTGATACACAGCACCACATAGTTCAGGTACACAGCACCCCAGGCATTCACTTTATCATAATCTATCATGTTAACTTGGTGAATTTGACACTGTTTCCTGCTGAAATGTTCTCAGACAGTTCTGCATTATCTGCTAATCTCCATGTCATGTGAGCCTGTGGGAAGGACCCTAAAGAAAAGCAGAACTCAGTGTTACAGATTTGAGGGAAGGCAGAAGAGCAGATCTCGGTAGTTCACAGAGTCAATAGAACATTCTGACTTGGAAGGGTCATCAAAGTTCAAGTCCAGGCCCTTCACATGACAGCTCCAAGAGTCACATCTTTTGCCCAAGAGTATCATCCGAAATATTTTTGAATCTCTGTCAGGCTTGGTGCTGTGATCACTGCCCTGGGGAGCCTGTTCCAGTGCCCAGCCACCCTCAGAATGAAAAACCTTTTCCTGATATCCAAACTAAACTTTCCCTGGCACAACTTCTTGCCATTCCTCATGTTCTCTCACTGATCACCAGAGAGAAAAGTATTCATTATAATTATCATGCTATAATATGATATCAATAATGTGCAAAATGCAACATATTATATTAATTCATTAGTATTTCTTGTAATTAGTTTAATTTTTGAAAACAGCTCTAATGAAATACTGTTCCTCTCATGGTGTGAGTAAATCACAGGAAATTTCAGCTAAACATGCCTTGAAGGAGGGTGGTTCTCTGAAGTCTTGCTGTGTAAGAGCTGGATAATGCACTGAAATGTGAATGAGAGGAGGCAAGGACAGAGAGGGTACATCTCCCAGAGAGAAGGGATTCTGCTTAAATATCTGAAGTCTCTCTCTGGGCAGCTCCTTGCTGAGCAGAAACAGGCAACTGAAGCAATGCTGTCGAGTCTCTTGCAGCCCCCAGCAGTGACTTCATCATTTCCCAGCACTTGAGAACTGATCTGGAGGCTGTGTTAGTGCAGAGCTGCTAGGGAGTGAGGGAAAACACTGCCTGTCCAAACTGCTATTCCTGAACGTGCACCAGGCTGACCCTGGCATGTGTCACCAGGGTTCCTGCATCCTCTTGAGCTGCAATTCCTCATAGTTTGTGTAAGAGAGAGTGCTAACCCAGCCTGGACTGTGCAGGGATAGCTCTGGAAAAGAGAAAACAGAGAGGTGCCATCAGAAGCAGTGACACTGCCGTGGTGCAGCAGGCACGAGTCAAGGTGTAGGTGCTGATCAAGGAGGAATGTCACCTCCAATGCAGAAGGGGCTGCGTGTCCTGATCTCCCCCTGACCTGGAGATGTTTTTGTCATTATGTAGCCCCTGACAACATGCAGTGACAGTGAAGAAGTGAAAGGAAATGTGTAGTTATGCTTTACCTTCACAAGTCTCAGTTGTTGATCTGTATGAGCTAAACACTCAAGGACAGAAAGGCATGTAAGGAGAAAGCCTCTTTATTTAGGCTACTTGAGCTTGGATATCTTAATTGTTAAACATTTGCAAAGACAGCTGAGGAGGCAAATAGGATTATTTTGTCTATTATTAACTAGCTGCTGAACATTTCTTAATTGGTACTATATTGTCTCTTTCATTAATAAACATTACCAGAGTTTATGCAAAATTAGCACTTGCAAGTATTACCAGTTTAAATGGATTCCTAAATACAGATGAGTAGTAATTTGCTTTTGTAAGTTTAAGTAGTAAAATTGAAGTGTTTACAGCCACTGATTTCTGGCAAAAAAAATTGATGACATCTTGCATCAATATATCTAGAACAAAATCCAATATATAGGCATGTCCATTTGGAATATCAAGACATAAATGGTTTTAAAGTGACATCGAAAACTTCTGACAAAACCCAGGGTTGTAACATCCAGATCTGTAGTTAGACTGGGTGTCTTTGAGACAAAATTTGGGGGACCTTTATTTCTAAGGTTTCCATTGAAAGCCCCATCAGTAACTGAGCTGAAAAAAATCCACATTTTAATTATAAAAGAGGCAGTGTTTCATTACTGGGTATGGTCTGTAAGCAGAAAAGTGAATGGAGCCAGGCATAAATACTGAAGCAGTGATACTGGAGGCATATGTCCCTGTAAGAAATCCCTCTCTACACTGGATGTAAGTGCAGAAGCTGTGTAATGCCCTGGTTTTGTATTGCCTGCAATAATGGAGCAAACAAAATTTGTCATAACCAGCAGGTGCCTTGTACCTGGCAATTTCACTTCGGCTTGCTCACAATTTACCTTGTCACAAGCACAAGTCTGCTTATGCATCCTCACTCTCCTGTCTGAGGGTCAGGTTAAAGGATCCAGGGACCACTGCCTGTTTTTAGGGCAGATTCTGTCCCTGCTGTTGGTGGTGTTGGCAAGGAAAGCAGAACAAGTATTCGGAGCACAGCACAATTACTCCTTGGTTGGCATTGGAGTAAATTAGTTGGCTGGGGGTCAATTTCTAGAGCTGGATTGAGGGGCAGCGCCAAGGAAATCAGAATGTACCTTCTGGGGTGTGTTTTTGGCTGTAAACTAGTGGGTTTGTCTACATAGTTGAAATACAAGCTTCCCAGGTAAGCATGTTTTCTCCTGAAAAAGTATATATAAGACAAGTATATATAAAAAGTTAGAAAGAAACAAAACTAAGGTTGTCCTATTCAAGCCAGTTCTGGAAATTCCTTGCTTCTGAGACCTCAGCTACCTGTGTGCTGGGGTGTTGGTTTGGGTTTGGTTTTGTTTTGTTTTATTGTGAGGTTCTAGAGGCTTCTGAAAACACAAACACAATATATCTTGTGGAAACTGTTCTGCTTCTTGTAATGTTCCTAAGCGTGGAAGATATACTGCAGGAGGCTGTCGTGTGAGCCACCTGTGTCAGGGTGCCATAGATGTCAGCCAGCCACCAGATCAGAATGAAGCATCGATTTACTATTTCTCTCCTGCCAGAAAATAATAGTCCCTGTTGTGACCTCAGGCTCCTGTTGCAGTGCAGTTGTAGACTTTTATGCTCTCACCTTCCTGCTTGTTCTTGCTCTTTCTGTCTGCAGTCAGTTCCTGGTACCAGCTGATATTCCCACAGACACTTGGCTCCTGTTTCTAATATCCCCATGTCTGCATAGGTAGCGCTGAGGAGAATGTGCAGAATATCCTCCCTGTTCTGGATCAAGTCCACCTCCAGCAGGCAGGAGCAGTGTTTGCAGGATAAATCGTGCCTGTCCCTGGAATCTTGTCTAGGGGAAGGCTGTTTGTGAGCAGCAGGGTTGGCACAGAGGAGTAATGTGCAAGGGGAGCAGGGTCAGCACAGCTGGCTGATCCCTGCCATCAGCAAACTCCACCAGGCCTTCAGCTTTCACTCAGTCTGCCAGTTTCTCAGTGGATGGCTTAAATTCTCTTTGGTTTTCTTAGCATGAGCATCATGTTCTCTCTGTAAACACACTGAGGAATCACTGCGTGATTTCTGCTGATGTCTAAAAAAAAAAAAAGAAATTCAGAGTGAGACAGAATGGCTGACCATATTCTTTCATGCTGCTAGATGGGCTGGCCTGACCCAACTTGTATCCTGTCATCTCACTACATATTCAGCTTTCTCTCACCCTTGAAATATCTTCAAACTGGGGAGTAGCACCTGAGTTCCCACTTCAGGGAGTGGGTAGTGACTAGTTTTGAATCAAAACAGGTGAGACATGCTGCATGGTCTATTAGGATGAAACCAGCCAAGAAGGAAAAGTGGGTAAAAAAAGTGGGAAGTGGTATACAGGCTTTCAGAAATATCTGCAGATAATTAGAGTATGTTTTGTATTATTTAAGATATCATCTGACAATTGTAGTTTGCCCTTAGAACAGCCCATTAAACAATATTTTTTTAAAATATACCACAAAGGTAAAACTTGTGTGGAAACCTTGTTCATATATATTTAGAATAAAGAACTTCTGTCTTAGTGCCAATTGAAATAATTTGGAGATTAAATTTCTTCTTTACTGTGAAGAAATATGTCCTGAATACACCTATTAGTGGTAAATTTTGGCAGCTGTTGTCTAATAAGTAAATTTATCTGCTGCTATTCTACTTTGAGACTTATTAATTTAGAAAAATGTTGAAAAGAAAGGTGTGAGGAATGCTGCTTTCCTCTGAGACACAAATACACATGGCTAAAATGAAGACAAGTTTGTGTGAAATGCCTCTGTTATCCAAATGCCACATTTTAGGTTATTATGCTTCTACAAATATTGCTGTGGCAGAACAGCTGGAAGAAAGGTGACACAGGGAGAATGCTAAACAAGAGAAATGATGCCTGTATCCTGCAGTTGCTATGCATTGGGAAGAGGGATGTGTGTGGCAGGGGAGCACCCAGGAGCTGGAGGCAGCTCTGAGGAAAGGCTGCCCTGAGAGAAGCCAAAGCTACTGCTGAGCCTCTGTGAAGACTTTGAAGGTCGAATAAATTTATATTGTAGGTAGAGGTGAAATCTGCATTCCACAGGGTTCAGTTGTGAAACTGGTGCTAAAATCAGTCACAACAAAAAGTAGTGGGGGGTAGGTTCTTCCTCAACTTGAATGTCCCACCAGTGGCCTGGCAGGATTTTAAAACAGAAATAAAGGAATTAATGCTAAATTTGGAAGGATCAAGGAAACTCTCTGCTTTGAAAATAGTACCTGCTGGTGGAACAGGAGCAGGAATCAAGAGATGGAAAGAGCAGAGCAACTTTGTTAACATCAGTAAGAAAATAATGGCTTCTGAATGCAAACCCTGAGGATCAAAGATCAAAGTTCTGTGGTCCATCCCCTTGTCCAGATGATGTATTGAAATAAAATAATGGGTCTGCCAGCAGATGCTACAAGTTAAGCAACATTTCCATGCCAGCAATCTATGTAAAAAGCAATCATTCAAATTCAGGAGAAGAGTGAAAATTAAATAGCTGGAGATGGAGTAGTCAGAGAGCACCAAGGATGCAGAACAGCTAAAGATAATTAAATTACATAGAAATAAATTAGTTACCATAATGGTCAGATTAGGAAATAAAACACAGAAGCATAATCTTGCCAAGCATTTGAGTAGAGCGGCAGAACTGGAACATAACTGAACTGACAAATGAGAGAGAGATTTATGGCTCTTGCCTAAATTTACAAACAGCTATGACTATTCAAATTTTGCTGTCACATCTGAAAGCAATCGAAACTCATCCTGCCTGGACCTTGTTCAAATCCTAAATTTAGTTATTTTCTATAAGGTTTCAAGGCAATCTTTGTGGATGGCTTTGACTGACTTTTTAGACCTAATAGGGTTTTTTTTTAGTCCAGTTTGCAAGTCACAGAATCACACAGAATCACAGAATAATGAATTGGAAAAAATCTCTAAGATCATCAAGTCCAACCTATGCCCTAACACCACAACTAGACTATAGCACCAAGTGCCAAGTCCAGTCTTTTTTTAAACATATTCAGAGATGGTGATTCCACCACCTCCCTAGGAAGACAATTCCAGTATTTTATTATTCTTTCAGTGAAATTTTTTTCCTAATATCCATCCTAAACCTTCCCTGACATAGCTTGAGACTGTGTCCTCTTGTTCTGCCAATTGCTGCCTGGTGGAAGAGATGAACCCCCACTTGTCTACAACCTCCCTTCAGGAAGCTGTAGATGTTTTGCTCAGGCAAATTTACACTCAAAAAGATAGTATTGGGAGTATGAGAGATATTCCAAGGGTTCTTGCTTAGCACAACACCTGTGAGCCAGATTGGTGTCACTTGCACGGCTTGGGTAACAACAAACTCCACCTTTTTTGTGGAGCTGGAGAGATTCCTGTTTCCCAGGCACAGACAAGGGAGGGACTGTCCTGCTTGTTTTTTAGGCAGAGAATAAGCTGTGGTCAGCCCAGGCTTTGCTCAGCCTGTAGCCCTGCTCCAGAACATCCCGTGAGAGGGGTGGCTCTGGGAGAGCTGCCATGGTGTGATCCATAGGGGATCATTGTCACCTCCAGCTTTTCACAGGTGGCAGTGCTGAATTGCTCAGCAGATAAACGTGGGGGAGGCTGAATTACCAGGGGGGTGAGGGGATAGACAGTAAAGCATGAGACCATGCTTTACTGGGGTACCCTGCTCCCCTCCAGCAGCAGCATCCCAGACTGGATGTGCCAAGTGGGACAGGAGCCTACTGAGGTTTCTGTGTGTCACTGCTGAGTTATCGTTGTGCTCCTCACATGGACATGAACATCTAAGGAAGTATAGAGCAGGTTCTTTTTCTTTTTTAATTTAATTTGAGAGCTGAATTGACCTTCCAGTGTGGTTCCATTAGCATCCCTGCTCCTACTGTTTGAAGATCCTTTCTCTGGCTGCTCCATGTGCAGATCAGTCTGTCTTTCATGGTGACTTTGAGCTGACTGGAAACAAATCTTTCTTTTCTTTTTTTTTTTTTTTTTCTTATTTCTAATAGTAAGACTCCATGAGCTACATTTTGACCTTGCAGGGGAGAAAATATGAAGCCGTAGTAGCAACTGATGTATGGGAAAAATCTGGATATTAATATACACAGCAATCCCAATGAGGCTAGAGCAACACAAAGAGATTGATGTTTTTTCTCAGGTCACAGTTTTGCCTCTGGCAGTATTAGCATGAATGCCATTTAGTCATCAGTGTGATTTTGTTTATAAAGGCAGATGTATTCCTACCTTCTGTATTATATTTTTTTTCCCCTTCAGCTTAGAACTTGAGGGCTGATAATTTTAGTGAGGCTGCTGGCAGTTGTTCCTTTTGCAAGGGTGATCAGGAAATGAAGAACATTTGATTCTCACAATAATTAAATAGGATGGCTCACAACGGAAGATTAGCTTGGCCTTTCTGGACTTTCATACTCAGCATCACAGAAACACTGCACAATCATTCATGATTTTCTGTCTGCTTTCCATTTTCCTTATTGTCACGAATCAAGTGAGAATGCCCTGCATTCATAATTTTTAAGTATACTTCAAATAATATATTTAAGCAAATGGTTGGGCAGTCAGCACCTCCCACAGGTATGAAATTACCTCTAGCTTCCAAGGGGGAGAAAGTTTAATAATTTCACTTCTTCCATGATTTGTATTTATTGAAGTAGTTAACATTTGTCTTCTCATGGAAATTGCTGACTTTTTAAAGTCTCTGGCTTTAAAAAATGACAAAAAGAACAGAACCAATGAAGGCTCCAAAGTATGTTCTGCTGACAGAAAAAAAATGGTGTAAAAGTATTTTAAATCACTTTTCAATAAATGCAAAATAAAGGCCAAATTTTATTGTGCTAGGACATAAATGGCAGTTGAAGCAAGCCAAGACATCAACTGTAATGACATTTCCACTGCAGCTGGCCCATCATCACAAATGGTTTTAGTGGGTTGTGTTTCCAGCTTTGGAGCTCAGAATTCACCCAAAGTGATGCTGCCTGTGAATGTGTTAAGGAAACAGTGTTGATGTTCCAGTGATCACCCTCTGGAAAGGCTTCCCATGATCCATCTTTGCAAGGGCTTGGTCCTTCCTAGGCAGCTTCTGGATCCTCCTCACCCTTGGAGCGTGCACACCACTTCCAGGTTAATTTTGCAGCCTCTGTGATGCATTTTTCTTTCCCATACACACAATCTTACAATTTCCCAGTCACACAATTATACCTGCTACACAGGTAGCAGAAGCCTGGATTCCCCTTGCAGCCTCTTCAAGTGCTGCTGTGGCAGGAGCAGGATGCAGCCCTGGCAGATGGGTTGCAGCAGTGAGTCAAAGCTGTTGCATAAGCTGCAATGGGGTAAACTTGGACTACCAGGAACATTCCCAAATCAGAAGTCTTCCTCTCCCCACCTCACCCCCCAACACCTCAAAAATCCCAGGCAGAAAAGATCCGAAGATTGCACTTACGTTGGATTGGTTTTGATGTTTTGAGATGAACAGAGTTTGCAGTTCCAAAATGATGATCTGTAATCTCCAGGGCTAGGAATGCAATTAAAAGGAAAGATGTGTTTGTATGTGTGGGTGGGTGTGCAATATTCTCAGGCTTGTGGCCTTGAGAGGAAACAGTAAATAGCATATGAAACTCCATAAAACGGTAAGCGTTGGCAGCTTTGTTCCTCCAGGATTATGCACCAGCCTAAAGAAATAAAACTTTGTTACCTAATAGGATAGACAGAATCTTGGCAAAGATGAAACTGGCAGGTACTACGCATGAGCAGAGCATGGTGAACCTCATGTTTGGTACAATTAAAGCCTTTTTACAGGAAATTTTGTGATAAGACATTTTAAGCTGGGAATTCTCTTTGTTTCTTGCAGAGATTGTAAAAAAACTGAGGCTTTTTTTCCAAAACCAGTAAACTTTTCTTCAATTAGACAAACTCTGCCCTCTTACCCTTCCCAAAAGGTAGTAGATAAATTGGAGTTGGATATATAAATCTATTTTACTCAGGAACCAGATACACCAATAAATCAATCCTTTCTTGCTACGTATGCAATATCTAAATGGCACATTCACAGATGCCAAATAAGTTTCCCTAACTAAGGAAACTGCTCAACACACTTCAGATCTTTATAGCAACGCCTAAAGTACCACCCTAATAGCATCAGTGGAGTAGAAACTGTTTAGCAGAATAGCACAGATTTTATATAGGGTCTTCCTTAGGTTGATATTTTTAGTCTTCAGATTTCATTTATTCTTGCTGAATTAGTAGAGCCTTTCAGAATATGTGTTTTATTTCAAATCTGCAATCTTGACAGCAGGTTTTCAGCTAGTTCTCTGTCCTATGGCAAACCTTACCTGTTCCTTTCATATAACAAATACAGAGGGAAGATAAAGCATACAGGATTTGGCCACACTCTCAGAAATTCATGAAACATGGCATTTCTTGCTGTGAGAAAAACAGCTAAATGATTGCTGCTTTATCTTGTAAAACAAATGTATCCTGTCCAACAGAGATGATAATTCTCACTGACCTGAATGCTTATAGATTTTACCCCTAAATATCTGACTTTCAGAAGAGCTCAGATCCTACTTCAGCATTTAAATGAAACTCTCATGGCTTCCAGCTGCTCTTTCCAAGGATTAGATGCCCAAATGAATCTACCACTCACACATACCTTGGTGTCTAAATCAGGATATCTAGGTGCTGGGCTCATTCAAAGATTAAGATCTTTGAACAAATAATGCTAAGTTACACTTAGCTGCTGAAAAACCTAGTGCTAACTACAACATGGAGTGGCAGCTTTTTAATGCTGCCATTTTACAAAGTAAGTATCTACAGTTAGTCCCCTAAATTCTTATTTGGATACCCTCCTTTAAATCACATGCATATAGTTGCAGATGGAGATACCACACTCATACATACCCATTTTAGATTAACATGGCATAAAAGCCAGCATAGCTAATACCAGCTATCACTAAGTAATAAGCTATTTCTACTAAATTGCTGCAAAACTGCTGCATTGAGAGGTGAATATGAGCACTGAGAGATAGTGCACTGATTCTTTTGTGCTATTAAGTGAATGATAAAAAAATTAGTTGAAAAACCAAATCCTGGTGCACCAAGTTTTTGGTGTGAAAACTCTCCTTTTATGGAAATGACAAGATCTTGAGCAGTAAAGGCACAGCTGGTGCTCACATCTGGGCTAGGAAAAAAAGGGCCAGTGATGACGAGTTGCAGCAAAAACAGAGGGTCTTCCAAGGGAAAAAAGTGGAATATTTAGTGTTGTGGAAAGGCTCTTGTATGTATAACTGGGACTCTTCACTGAAGAAGATGAGTAGAAGATGAGGGGACTTTAGGATCATACACAGAAGTTCTCTGATTCTGTAAGCATTGAGGACAGGGATATAAATCTTTTATCATGAGACCCCCCCTTAGCTCAAATTTAGAGATTTTTATGAGACTCCATGCTCTTGTGTAACTTTCTGTGAGGATTTTTTGCCTAAAGGGGCCTATTTTGGTCAGTGTTGAGGACACGGTGTCTGACTGCATGGACTGCTGCTCCCAGCCACGCTGGCAGCTTGTGTGGTCACTCTGTGGCCCTGACTGTCAAATAATCAAGTAGGTACTCGTTGTGAGAGCTTTTCAGCTTAGCACTCCACTTCTGCTTCTGAAAAGAGCTGAGCTCCAGGTCAGCACTGAAAAATCTGAAGTAGATGACAGTCAGTGAGGAAGAGTGAAAAGAAAGAGAAAACTGCTATTTATTATCACCTAATAACTTGGCTCATTTTTTGGGGTATGTCTAAAGACCTATTTGGATCTTTTATGATGGGACATGTGCTTAACTTCAAGAAGGAGACAATTACACTGTGAGAAAACTCAGCAGAGCATATATGTTTAATATGATCTGCATAATAACATAAATCTAGCGTCTATGTGAAGATGATTTCAGCTGTCTCATACAGAAAGGCAGCTGGATTTTTGGATGAGGCCACCCACTGCCAGGAGAAAAATGCTTGAATCTTCAATACCTTTGATTCACGGGCTTTAGGAGGTGAGAATCATACTGTCACAGCATGTGCCTGGGAAGCATGTTAAATTTCCTACGCCTTGTCCTCTCCCCTTCTCTCACAGTCTGCTTCTAAATTGAACTCTCTGCTTATGAAACTTTAACTTTCTGATACCTCTACATGAATCCTGTTTTCCATTTTGACAGAAATTTTACTGAAGGATAAAAAAAAGGGGTTCCCCCCCCACCCTTGTCTCTGCAGCACTGACAGTTTTGTGCTTGTCCTTTCTTGAAACATCTAAGTTAATTTTATAGTTATTGAGGAGCACGGTGGAAATGCAGCTTTACAACCTTTAACAACAACACAACACCCTCCTGTCTGTAATCTCCACCTCCTGTACCTATTCTTGCAAACCACCTGGAGCAATGTTTCTGCCTCATAAATCTGAGCCTTTAAGAAGGGCAGCATTGCATGCACTGCTCTAGCTGAAGTAGTCTATCTGGCTGATTTTTCTGCTAATGCCTTTTTGATGCGTTGCTGGTAAATAGCTTTATTTGTAAGAGATTACGGTCGCGGCAAAAAATCCCAATAGTGACAAAAAATAACTGTTATGGGCAATGCTGGATTTTCCACTCATTTGTGGTTTACCTTTAGCCTCCAGTTAAGCTTGTTGCCAATTATTTTTTTTTTGTGCCTGCTATACACAGACCACAGAGGGTTTTGTTCTTCCTTTGTCTAAAGTCCCATACCATCAATTAGAACAGGAAGACAGGTTCCTCTGTGGTATTTGAATCCGAGCAAACCTAAAACAAGCAATGTTTTGCTAATCTTTACATGCACCTGCAGAGGAACAGAGGCTGCACCTGGGTGGAAAAAAAAGTTACCAGTAGCTTTTAATGTGCAAAGCTCTTGAATGTAGCAATTACACAAGGCAAATTGTGAGGGGGTGTGGTTTATTGGTGACTGCTTTTATTGTACCTTATCATATGCAGAAAGTGACTCATCTGATACAGAAATGGCTCTTTAGGGATCAACATATGCACCTGAGCCTAGAACTACATTTAAAAGGTATGAAAGAGATCTCTTACAACATAGCTAGATGAATAATATTGCAAATCCATGGGGTTTTGACAGGTAATTAATCAAAAATTATCCATATTTAGATACTTAGGTGCTAGGCATTAAGAAAGAAATCTGCCTTTTCTGTATGGTAACTCTGAGAGCTGCACATTTTTAACACATCTAAAAATCAGGCTGCTGATGTTGATGCCTATGTTTTTTCCAGAGTCTGTGTAGTTGGATGAGCTGTAGCATAATGGTGGAAGCCCTTTCCCTTTAGAGAAGGAACCAGTGATTGTGTAGTGGCAGCAGCCGGGTCTATGCTGGCATGTGGACCCACATGGTCACATCGGCATGGCAAAATATCTGTCAGAGCCTTTGGGAAGTCCTGATCCAGCTGAAGACTGGGCGCCTAGCTGTGTCCCTGGGTGTTTAGTGCACTGCTTCAGAGTTTTCTGGCACAGAGCAGCTTGCTTTTCAAAGCAGGATAATTAATCATAGCCACCAAGAGAGCAGAAATGGCCATTTGGGGTTAATGAGAGTGTGACAGCAATGAAGCTCTGCAAGTGTGTTGGTGGAAACTGGCCCTAGGAGGGGTGCTGTGGATGTAAACATCCCTCACTCTGCATATTGCATAATTGTATGAGCAGAGTATTGCCTGGTGTGCCCCTTTAATTTCACGTTGAGGAACAACTGAGGTTTTTTAGATAGTACTTTCAGAATATTGATATCACCAACATTTTATTTGTCCCTTTCAGTCATGGCATGAGTAGTTCATAACTCTGTCCTCTGGCTTGTCATTGTCCTGAATAACCTGTTGCTCAGGACTGTGCCATTTCCTTCCCTGCACATGAAATGCTCTGTCTCGTGTCAGTGTGTGCACAGTGCCAGCATTGCTGTGCTCATCAGTCAGCTCAGAAGTTTTGGCAGCAGAGTTTAATGACAAGTACGATGCTCACATCAGAAGGGATGGTGGCTGTCTCAGAGATATTTGCAGCTCATTTTGAAGCGGGAGCAGTGGCATGTGTCTGCATGATCCTTGAATTCCAGACATGAGAAGACACCATTTGGAGAACATATTCCTCTGCTTGCCTCCACGTTTTCCTGAAAGATTTTCACCAAATTCAGGAGAGACTCTCATTTAGCAAGTTTTGTGACATTGATCTCTGGCTGCTCTGTTGTCTTCTCTACAGTCTGCCTCTGCCACAGTGATAATGAACTTCCACCCCCAGCCAAGCCAAACTGAAAGATTAGGACTTGAAAACACCTTATGTCATGTCACTGGCTTTATTAAGAGCATGAGGTTAGGATAAGGTTCTGCTCCACTCTTGATGACTTGTCTCCTTAGGATAGCTCCAGACTTCCAGCTGAGCTGTGTTTTCATGTCTCCTTGCTCTGTGCTCTATCTCTGTCATTAAGAGCTCCATTTCTGCTGCATTTCACAATGTTTGAACAGAGGTGACATACAAACCTCTTACTCCCTGATTTATTAAAGAAATATGGATATTGATCTAGTATCGATATCCAACTGTGACGGACAAAAACTCTCTAACAGTTTAAAGTTAGAAAGTGTATGTTTATTCGACGCCGGGCAGCGTGCGGGATAGC